CATCTGGAGATAAAAGCAAATCAGCAGCCAAGAAAACGGTGAAAACCATAGATGCAAAGAAACCAGTCTCAACAGATGTTGCATCAAAACGAACAAGCACTGATAGTAATGCTGGGCAAAGAAAAAGTGTCCAACTTTCAACAGGGTGAGTGATGTATTTAAATATACTCAGCAGTTGTGGTACCTGGAAAAAACAGTTAGTAATATATAGATTTTAGCCAAGCCTAAAAGCAGAGCTGCTGATTACAATAAGTTAGCCTGACTTGAGCCTATGATCCAATTGAAAGCCTGTACCTAGGGAGCAGTCAACGTCAAAAACCGTGTGACCTTGATGAGTTCTAAACTCGAGCCCATATTATGGTCATGTGATACTGGTTAGTAGATACCTTGTTTGGACAGGTGTAAATTGACCATAACATGGATGTCCAATTTCAAAGATTCAAGGCTGCATCATTGCCTTGGTCAACCAATTAGCTGGAGTGTGGCCACCATGTTGCCCGACATCATAGAGTGCACATGCCTGTGATCCATGCTACTAGCCAGGTTGACCATGAAGAAAGAGTTTGGTCCATGGTTTTCTATTTTTTGTGGTTTTGATCAGGACTATGGTTATGGTGCTTCACTTGGTAGCCCTTCAGACCACCAGGGCTCCACTAGAAAAGTCTAAAATTTGAAATCTTGGTTGAAACCTTTTACAGGGGTGTCATTAAGGGACAGGCACCTGGCAAATTGACCAGCTGTGAGGATGATTTTTCCCACCTGGTTTTATCATTTACAGGAAGGTTTTTCTTTTGAAGAAGTTTAGTTCAAAAAGTTTTACCTGCCTGTGAAAACCAGTTACCCTCCTGATGAAAATGTTAATGAAATCCCTGTTTTTACATGGCAGCCATCTGCCTATTGGTCTACTGATCCATCCTTGTGTATAAAGATGCACATCACTAGTTTGTTGCGTCATTCATTTCTTCATTATTTTATTCATTTGCTTACAAACTCATTCATCCATTCTAATTTGCTTTTCACCAATTAAGGAACTTTTAATTCAGGTCGGACCAAATAGAATAGTGATTGAAAAGTCTGAAAAAATTATAATAAAGATTGGATACAAAATAATCCATTTCTTATTTTTAAGGGAGTTCTATTCTGTTTAGGTCGGATCTTTACCAGAGAGTTGAGAAAGTTTTGCAGGGATTTNTAAAAGCAGAGCTCCTGATTACAATAAGTTAACCTGACTTGAGCCTACGATCCAATTGAAAGCCTGTACCTAGGGAGCAGTCAACGTCAAAAACCGTGTGACCTTGATGAGTTCTAAACTTGAGCCCACATTATGGTCATGTGATACTGGTCAGTAGATACCTTGTTTGGACAGCTGTCAATTGATCATAACATGGATGTCCAATTTCAAAGATTTAAGCTATAATTCAAGGCTGCATCATTGCCTTGGTCAACCAATTAGCTGGAATATGGCCACCATGTTTCCCGACATCATAGAGTGCACATGCCTGTGATCCATGTTGCTAGCCATGTTGACCAAGAAGAAAGAGTTCGGTCCATGGTTTTCTATTTTTATGTATGCCTGTGGTTTTGTTGAGGACTATGGTTATGGTGCTTCACTTGGTAGCCCTTCAGACCACCAGGGCTCCACTAGAAAAGTCTAAAATTTGAAATCTTGGTTGAAACCTTTTACAGGGGTGTCATTAAGGGCCAGGCACCTGGCAAATTGACCAGCTGTGAGGATGATTTTTCCCACCTGGTTTTATCATTTACAGGAAAGTTTTTCTTATGAAGAAGTTTAGTTCAAAAAGTTTTGCCTGCCTGTGAATACCAGTTTCCCTCCTGCTGAAAATGTTTACTTAATGAAATCCCTGTTTTTACATGGCAGCCATCTGCCTATTGGTCTACTGATCCGTCCTTGTGTATAAAGATGCACATCACTAGGTTGTTGTGTCATTCATTTCTTCATTATTTTATTCATTTGTTTACAAACTCATTCATCCATTCTAATTTGCTTTTCACCAATTAAGGAACTTTTCATTCAGGCCGGACCAAATAGAATAGTGATTGAAAAGTCTGAAAAAATTATAATAAAGATTGGATACAAAATAATCCATTTCTTATTTTTAAGGTAGTTCTATTCTGTTTAGGTCTGATCTTTACCAGAGAGTTGAGAAAGTTTTGCGGGGATTTATAGAAGAAAACTGTCCAGTGAATTCAAGAACTATTCGTATCTTCCTGAGTTCCACTTTCACAGGTAAATAATCATTTTAAGAATGTTGGTCCAGTTAGAGTCAAAATTTGGACAACTTTTAAATATGTGTGATCTCGTGGAAGATAATACACCCCAACACTTTGTGAGGCTGCACCCTAAGTATGCAGTTGCAGAGAATATCCATACCCAAGCAA